GGGATGCCCCCGACCGCGAGCATCCTCGAGGACCGAGGGAGGGCGGGGGCGCGCGACAGGGACCGGGCGATGCACAACACACTCCCGCGGGGAGGCTACTCGGGCCCCGCACTCACCTCAGCTTCTCCGCCGGGGCGTTGGCAGCACTGCGCGGGGCCTCCTCGGCTGCCGGACAGGGGCACGCGCCTGACGTCAGCACGCAGGGGACGCACGGTTGGGTGCCCGCGGAAGTGGGCGGGACAAAGAGGAAGAAGGGGCTGGAACGGGCCGCGGTGGGCGTGGCTTGGTAGTGGCTCCGCCCGTATCGCGCACGCGCGGGCTGAGTTCCTCCTATACTCAGGTTTTCTGCACGTTTTACCAGTGATTTTTATTCGTAATAAAACTATGAACAGAAGTGTTCACAGTGTTGTCACTAAAGTTTGTTTTTGTCCTTGGAACTTTGTGAAGAAAAGCATTGTAAATATATCTTATTTTTAATTTTTTTATTTTGAGACAAGGTGTCATTATATAGCCCTTGCTGTCCTAGAATGGCTATATAGACCAGACTGTCCCAGAACTCATATTCTCCTGCTTCTGCTTCCTGCGTGCTGATACTCAACACCATGTCTGGGATGTCTTTTTGGTTTGGTTTGGTTTGGTTTGGCTTGGCTTGGTTTTTTTGAGACAGGGTTTCTGTGTATAGCCCTGGCTGTCTGGAACTTGCTATATGGTCCAGGCTGGCCTGGAACTTGGAGATCCGCTTGCCTCTGCTTCCTATGTGCTGGGATTAAAGATGTGCATCCCCATGACCAGGGTACCTTTCTTTAATGACGTTTGAGACAGGGTCTCATGTAGCCCAGGCTGGCTTTGAACACAACTATGTAGCAGAGGTTGACCTTGAACTCCTGATCCTCATCCTTGCACCTCCCAAGTGCTGGGATTGTAGGCATGCATCTCCACACCCTGCATCCTTTTTTGCTTCTCAAAGAGAAATAGAGACTTGTTGTGCACAGCTTTCTGAAGCCCACGGGCCTCTAAACAATCTGCCTGTCAAGGAGTGAGAATAGAATATTGCCCTGGGTTTTGTTTAGAGCTAGAGACCCGCCCCCTCAAAAAGGTCCTGCATTTACTCTGCCTAGCTCCTCTTCCCTGGCCCCCTAGGTTGACTCTTGAAGGGACTCTAGCCAGCCCGAGTGTGGCAAACATGGCCTTGTCCTCCCACATCCCCTCTGTCTTGCTAAAAATCGTTAGATTATAATCCTAAAACTAGCCACCATGGTCCATTCCCTTATTTAGCCACTTCCTCCTCCTGAGGCTGACTGCCAATGTCCAGCTATCAAAGTATTGTAGTCCAGCGATCAAAACCCCCCTTTGTCTTACCTAATTAACCTGTCCAGTCAAATTTCATCCTAACTCAGGATTTCCCCCTTTTACCTTTATAAACTGCTGTTTGTCTATGGGCCATGTCTGTCTCCTCTCAATCCAGAGGCAGTCCTTTGTACCTCTGGGACAAATATTCCTTCCCTCCTCTCCCTTGTTCTCTTTCCCTTCTCCCTGGTCCTCTGTCTCCTGTCTTTGTCTCATATTCCCTGCCCTCTGTCCCCCTGGGTCAAATAAATCTCCTTTGTGCTGAGAACTTGGGGTGTCTTGTGCTAGTCCCTTCAGCTCTGATCTCTCAAATCCTTCTACCTTCCCTGTCTTCTTGGTACCTGTTTGTTTGCTGTCTTCCCTGTTAGTGCGAAAGCCGCTAGAGAATAGGGATCCTGTCCTAGTCTCAGATGCTTCCCGATATCAGAAGAAACATCTTAATAATGTTCATTTGCAAGCCGGGCATTGGTGGCGCACATCTTTAGTCCCAGCACTCGGGAGGCAGAGGCAGGTGGATCTCTGTGAGTTCGAGACCAGCCTGGTCTACAAGAGCTAGTTCCAGGACAGCCTCCAAAGCCACAGAGAAACCCTGTCTTGAAAAACCAAATAATAATAATAATAATAATAATAATAATAATGTTCATTTGCAGGCTGGAAGTGTAGCCCAGTGAGTGGAGTGCTTGCCTAGCATGCACGAAGCCCTGGATTTGATCATCACTACCACTTTAATAAAGTATGGGGGTGAACAGCTCTGATCCCAGAGCTTGGGAGGTGGAAGCAGGAAAATCAAAGGTCATCCTTGAAGGCATAGAGAGTTCAGTCTGTCCTGGGATACATACACCCTATCTAAAAATAAAAGAAAAAAATAAGTCCACTTAGCTGGGCATGACACTGCATCCAGAAGGGTGTGTCATTGTATGTCAGGAATCTTAACTTGAACAGTGGAACTCTGAGCTTACAGATGCGCCACTGCATCCAGCTTTATGTGAGCCCTAGGGATTAGAACTCAAGTCCTCACACTTGCATGGCAATCACTTTACCCCCAAGCCACCCCCAGCCTGCCATCTACTTCTCTCAAAGCTGCACTGTAAACATCTTTCCGTGTCAAATGAAGCCCCTCTTCCAAGGCTGCATTCTACCATGTGGATCCACGTCTACTATGTGGGCAGTCTCACACTGTTAGGATTTAGGTTGTCTTGCCTATTGCAAATTCTCCCTTCAGTGCCAGGGTGGAAACCAGGGCCTACCAATGTTAGGCAAGTACTCTCCGGTTCAGCTACACCCTTCACTCAGACTACGTCAAATGCCAACTTTTTACTATCACAAGAAAAAAAAAAAAAAAAGAAAAGCCGCATCAATTTCTTCAGCCTGAGAGAAACTGCTGCTTTTCTCTGTTTCCAAGGCTAGTTGGCTATGTCCTTTCTTTCCTCCTGCCTCACAGTGCCATGAATGTCCCCAGACAATGCCTGCCCTTTCCATCAGCTGCCATATCTTGATGGGGTGTCACCCAACTGTTTGGCCTTGCTTGCACTTATTCTGAGAACAAGGACTCACTCAGCACTTTGTCCCCTGTTTTGTCAGAAGGCACCCTTGACCTTCCCACCACCCCAAGATGGAGTGGGTTACTCCTTGACCCCTATCTACCCTATCGAAAGCTGCCAGCCAAGACTCCAGGCTCTCACGTCTCCTTCGCCCTGTTCCCTTGGCTCTATCTCCATTAAATTAGCAGGATGGCAGCCTTCAAAGTCTGTCTTAATTAGGGTTTCTATTGCTGTGATGAAACACCATAAACAAAAGCAACTCAGGGAGGAAAAGGTTTATTTGGCTTGCTTTTCCACATTATAGTCCATCTTTGGAGAAAGTCAGGAAAGGAGCTCAAAGAGGGAAGGTTCCTGGAGGAAGGAGCTGATGCAGGGGCCGTGAAGGAGTGTTGCTTTGGCTTGCTCAACCTGCTTTCTTATAGAACTCAGGACCACCAGCCCAGGGGTGGCACCATCCACAATGGGCTGGACCCTCCCCCATCAATCACTGATTAAGAAAATGCCTTGCAGGCTTACTTACAGCCTGGTCTTATGGAGGCATTTTTCTCAACTGAGGCTCCCTCCTCTTTAATGACTCTAGCTTGTGTCAAGTGGACATAAAACTGGCTTTCACGGTGTTCCCCAACTCTCCTGTAGTACTGGTTCAAGCATCTTGCCTATAGGAATAGATGTGTAACCCAGGCTTGACCAGTCTCATAATTGCAGACAGAGCTGAATAGGCAGCAGGCAGGGGACCCAGTTTCTGTTTTGGAACTTGGTGAGAACTGTCCAGCTGAATGAATGGAGTTGCTGAGGTCAGGTGTGAGCATGGCCCTGCTGTCAGCCAGCCTCTTGCTCCTGAAAATGGGAGCCATACAAAGCCATATGCAAAGGGAAGTACCAGGAGCATTGTGCCATCCACTGGGTGCTGGCTTGTTTCAGTATTCAGTTTCATTAGCCAACAAATACCCTCTCCTGCCTGGACCAGGTTGAATGGGTTTCTGTCACAAACACATGGGTGTTGGATCCCCTGGAACTGGAGTTAGACTGCTGTAAGCTGCCATGTGGATGCTGGGAATTGAACCCTGGTCCTCCTGAAGAGCAGTTAGTGCTCTTAACCACTGAGCCATCTCCCCAGCCCCTATATCTCTGTTCTTTTTGCCCCTCCATTAGTGCTGAGCTTACTTCTCATTAAGCTCTAGCCAAGACTTTTTTTTTTAATTTTATGAACTGTGGGGTGCACCCACTGAGCCAGTCATCTCATCACATCCAAACACAAGGCTCTTGAAGTCACTCTGCCACCTCTGCTCCTTGACTGTTACTATGTGGTAATAAGCTCTACCCCCTCTCTAGATAACTTCCACAGCTCCATCTCCTCCAGGTCCTGATACCACACCCATCTCCAAATTCCCAGCTATCAGCACCCCAAAGTCACACTGGAGCTCCTCCCTCTCTTTCTTTTTCCGGGTTTTTCCGGTTTTCAGAGCTGCACTGCTCTGACTGACTTCAAACTCACAACATGGCACTCGGCTGGCCACAAAATCCTAATCCTTCTTGTCTCATCTTCACAAGTGCCAGGATCTCAGACATGCATCACCACAGCTGGCTGGGAACACAGCTTTGGTCAACATCAGCCTGTGTGCTTTCCCACCTCTGTGTCTCTAGATTCCACTTTTCTCTTTTTTGTTGTCAAACTCCTCTCCTCTGCAAACTAGGTCTGTCTGAAGCCTCTTAATCATTCCTGAGATACCTTGTATTAACTATGGGGGTGGCTAGAGAGATAGCTCAGTTAAGAGAACTGGCTGCTCTTCCTAAGGAATCCCAGCACCCACACCAAAGCTCACAACCATCTGTAGCTCCAGTTCCAGGGGATCTGAAGCTCTCTTCTGTCCTTCACAAGTAACAAGAAACACACACACACACACACAGAGAAAGAGAGAGAGAGAGAGAGAGAGAGAGAGAGAGAGAGATGTGTGGGAGCAAAACTCATACTCATAATAAAATAAATAGATATCCTTTCATTTAAAGTATGCCACAGGACCTGAAAGATGGCTCAACACACACACACACACACACACACACACACACACACACACACACACACACACACTAAATGCATTTGGGGGGATTTTTTTTTTCTTTTAAAGATTTTATTCAAGGTGGTTGTAAGCCACCAAGTGCCAGGAATTGAACTCAGGACCTCTGGAAGAACAGCCAGTGCTCTTAACCTCTGAGCCATCTCTCCAGCCCCCAATAAATGCATTTTTTTAATGTTTAAAGCTCAAGTTCATTCTGAGCTACATGAGACTTTGTGTCAAAAGAAAAAGATGCGGCAAGTGTAGTGAAGGTTGTAGACAAGAGGGAGAGTATTCGACGCAAATACAGG